GATTTGTTTTTCAAAAGAGTGAGACAACATTCCCAGACGAAAAGGGAAGGGGGTCGTTAATTTTTATCATGTCTAAGACATGATAAAAATTAACAAAAAGTTTTTTTTTTTTTTTTTTTTTTTTTTTTTTTGAGTTGGAGAATTTTTCTCAGCTCTGAAAATTTTTTTCCAGCCGACTCGAGACTTTACCATTTATATTTACGAATAGTCTTTGGATTATTTATTTATTTTCTTTTAAAAAGAAAAATTCTGAGCTAGACCTATCTATTGGCTTAACATTCTGGTCATAGAAACAGTCTAGAATCTCATTTTATTTTTCGAGGCTAATGCACGGGTTCTCCAATCAAAAGGGTTACTATAAAGGGATTGGTTTGAATGCATTTATCTGCAAATGTTGTAGGATTCTGTTGTTGAGAAGGGGGTATATTATTATTATTATTATTATTATTATTATTATTATGATTGTGGCAGATTCGTTTTCTACATGGAAGTCTAATCTCCTCCGAAGACCTTTTCTGGGGATCGTCGATAGATGGTTTTTCAATAGGAATCGTTTCCCTCGGATCCTCAAGAGATAGAGGGGGGTCCTGTCTTGAGACATGGAGCGGTCTCTCCTCCTCCTCCTCCTCGAGAAGTCTTGAGAAAGGGAGAGGATTTTCGGTTCCCTTATTCTTGAGGGGTCTTGACAAATTGAGAGGTCCCTCCTCTTCGAAAGAGAGAGAAGTTTTGGTTCCCTTATCCTCGAGGGGTTTTGACAAATCGAGAGGTCCCTCATTTTCGAGGGGTCTTGATAAATGGAGAGGTTTTTCATCTTCGAGGGGGTTTGATAAAGGAAGAGATCCCTCCTTCTCGAGGGGTCTTGATAAATGGAGAGGTTTTTCATCTTCGAGGAGGTTTGACAATGGGAGAGAGAGATCTCTCCTTCTCGAGGGGTCTCTCTTCCTCAAGGGGTTTTGAGGAAGGGAGAGGTTTTTCATCCTCGACGGGTTTTGACAAACGGAGAGGAATCTGAACAGGCTTCTCCTCATCCCCATCATTATCGAGGAGGATGAGGATAGGCTTTTGGAAAGGTTTTTTCTTTTTCTTCTGAACAGGCTCCTCTTGATGCTCGGGGAGAGGGATGGGGTAGTTGTTCCACCATTCTATTTTTTCTTGCTCGAGGATTTTTTCAAAAGTCGTGGCCTCTCTAAGATGAGACGAAGGAGGAGAGTCCTCGAGAAGAATATAATAGGTATTCTTCCCAGTCTTCTCGATCGAGAGAGGTTCGTGCAAACATTTGTGCAACCATTCACTAAAATGAACGAGAATCCCTTTTGTCTTCTCAAGACGATCCATAATCCTATTCATTTGCGAGACGGTTAGAAAGTGGGACGTGTAAAAATATTTGGCTCGTTTCATTAACAAAATTTGTGCATCCAAAGGTGGAATGTCACGAGCCATCAACACGTTTTCGTCGGACAAAAAATTCGTCCCGCATCTTTTGATAACTCCCCACGGTATAATAACCCGCACATTTTGAAAAATCGGAGGCTTTCAGGTAAACGACTCCTTGGATGATATAAAAGGAAAGATCAACATATTTATATTTGAAAGGAATACACGTAGTGAGCCGGGGATGCCTCCTCATGATCCACTTGGACAAAAAATATGACTTTGGGGCTCTCCCCTTTTATTTATAGAGAGAAAGAGAGTGTGACCTTCCCTTCCCTCCTCCTCCTCTCTCCCTGCTTCCTCTATCTCTGGACGTCCTTGGATTGGAAAGGGTGACTTTGAAAAAAAAAGAAGGTCATGGTTGGATAATTTTTTGTTTATTAAATTATTACTTTCACTTCCTCATTCCCACACACATTCATCTTTTTAAGAAAAGAAAAAGAGGTCATGGAGATAAGATTTCTTGGAAAGAAGAGAGAGAGAAACAAAAAAAAACAAATAAAACGGACGTCATAGAGCCTCTATGTGTGTCTGTGTGTGTCTATATAGATATATAAAAAGACGAGAGTACTGGGCGAGATCATTTCTTTTCCATTGGGAGCCATGTCGCTATTAGACGTTTTTCCAACTCAACGGATTTCGAACGGGGAGGATTTGAAGACGCTAAAGCAAATCTCCAACTTGAAAATTTTTTTGGCGTGTCATTGTGCGACATTTATTCCGCATTTACCACCTCATCAAGCGATCGTTTCTTTCAACCAAGATGTCGAATCCTCCAACCTGCTCGTTCAGAATATATACAGAAATTTATTCGAATCGCAACAAACGAAAGAGGAATCTCCCTTCTCTTGGAATCGGATGGATCGAGCTTTGAGACGGCCCATTCAAACAGACCGGCGATATACAGATCCGCGCACGAGTTTTCGGTGGAAGAATATTTTTCTCACGAAACGATATTTTACGTTTGGAGTGAGAACGACGGCTGAGGACGAAGTTCATATTGTTCAAACCACAGCCGCTCCTCTCGCCTATTACGAATCATCGTCCCCCAATCTGAAGGAAAGAAGTTTTAAAGTCAGCGACAGGATGAAATATAAGAAATATATTCTAAGACCTTTTCAAAACTATGTCGTTCCCCCGAAAACGCAATATCTCATCGTCACAACCCAGAAGAGTCTCTTTCTCGTCGATCGGTGCTCGTACTCGCTTTGGAAACAATTGAAAGAGGAGATTTCTTTCCAATCGCCGATGATGTTTCAAGAAAAAGAAGAAGAAAGAAAACCCTCCGCCACCTTTACCCATCCCTTCCTTAGATGATAAGAGGAGCTGGACCAAACCGTCGTCATGGCCCGAAACAAAATCGACCCGGCAACGGAATGAAATTGAAGTCATCACAATTGAAGATGAGGAGGAAGAAAAAAAATTACCTCTTAAAAAAACGGTCGACTTACCGGAACCTACCTGGCGTGCAAGATCCGCTTCAGAATCCAGAAGCTTCTTCTTCTTCTTCTTCTTCCCCGACTTGTTCAAACAGGCAACCTCTTTCGGACTCCTCACAGACAGAACCTCTTCCAGTATCCTCTTCTTCTTCTTCTTCTCCTCCAACCTGTCCCGACATCGTAGAGGTAGAATGTCAGACGGGTCCACAAGCTTCAAAAAGTCCCGACATCGTAGAGGTAGAATGTCAGCCGGGTCCACAAGTTCCAACAGGTCCAGAAATCATGGAGGCAGAATCACAGCCGGGTTCACAAGTTCCAACGGGTCCAGAAATCATGGAGGTAGAATTTCAGCCGGGTAAACAAGTTCCAACGGGTCCAGAAATCATGGAGGTAGAATCGCAGCCGGGTCCAGACATCCTAGATCCCTCCACTCATCCCAAAGAGACTCCAAGTGTTTCAAGACAGCCTTGTGAGGATCCAGCCCTTCCCGTATGGAATGATTATATGGACTTACAAAATTTGGTGCAACAGGAAGGAGAAGAAAATAATCATACGGATGGGTGGGTCAAAGACTGTTTAGATCATTTAACCTCGAATGAAATTGAACTGTTATGGAATTGCATTTCTGAAATCACATCGGAAATGGGATAAAAAAACCAAAACAAAAAAAAAAACAATTTTTTTAATAACAAATTGGAGGAGGGTCATGATGTCAATTAAAAAAAAATATTATATAGAGTCCAATCTTGGTGGTTCACTTCAGTTTTCCAGCATGAGGTGATCCACGTTTCCCGAAATATGGATCCCATTCCAAGAGAGATTGTGTAGAGCCTTCACTTCAGTTCTTTTTTTTTCCTACCAAGAGGAGAGGGTCCCCAAAGGGCTACCCATGTCCAAAGAGAGAAAGTGTAGAGCGTTCATTTCAGTTTTTTTTTCCAAGTTTAGGGGAGGGAGGTCTCAAAATGACACCCCCCCCATTTTCAAAGAGAGATGGTGTAGAGCGTTCATTTCTGTTTTTTTCCAAAGTTAGGGAGTTTTCAAATGGCTACCCATTTCAGAGAAAGAGAGAGAGAGAGAGAGAGAAGGTGTAGAGCGTTCATTTCAGTTTTCCAACATTAGAAGGTCCCAAAATACCTTCTGAATTCAAAGAGAGATCGTGTAGAGCGTTCATTTCCAGTTCTCCAAGATCAGAAGAAGAGGGTCCGCTTTTCCCAAAAGGGCTTTCCGCATTCAGAGACAGCGAAATGCAGACTTCAGTTTTCTCCCTCCCCAAGAATAGAGGGTCCCAAAATGGCTTCCCATTTCAAAGAGAGAGGAGAGGGCGTTCATTTCCATTCTCCAAGATAGGGTCGTCTGCTTTTTTCCCAAAATGGCTTCCCAATTCAAAAAGAGAGAGAGAGAGAGAGTAAAAGGGTGTGTAGAGCGGTCATGTTCATTCTCCAAGATAGGGTCGTCAGCTTTTTCTCAAAATGGCATCTCCCCATTCAAAAAGAGATCGTAACCAATTTTTTCCAGTTTTTTCCAAGATGGGGGGGAGAAGAAAAAACCTAGGATGGAATAACACGACACACAGAGAGAAAGAGAAAAAAAAAAAAAAAAACGCCATCTTGTCATTTTCTGATAGGGTACCGGTGTTCGAATACTTTTGTGACCGACTGTACCTTACACTCTTCTTAGCTAAGAACAAAATATCATAGAGAATAATAAAATTATGAAAAGAAAATTTTGTCTCAGATAACAATACAAAATGTTATGGACTTAAAATGTTATGGTTGAAATAAGACTGATCTTGGAAAAGGCAAACATTCAAAGACCAGTTGGGTTATTTGATGTCTAATAGTATCAATACTTTACCTAAATGTACCCAATGTCAGCAGATCTACGGATCTTGAAATGTACCAAAATTCCCAAACTATACAAGAAAGAAAGTTCCAATCTTACGCGAGTTTTAGAAGAGTTAAACTACTTGCTGTAATTCCAGATGAAAAGGAAAAAAATAATAGCGTTATTTAATTGTTCCCAAAGAAGATAACAAATTCCGAGTTTTTCTTTTGAACACATGGTGATATTTCTAAATGGATATTAATTAGGCAAAAGCTGAATTTTTTTAAAAATACATTAAAATACATATCAAGCAAGAAACAATTAAACTCGTTGCAGAAAATAAAAGCATGCTTTGGGCAGGTGATTGTTTTTTGATGTCTATCGTAGAAAATTTGGCTTTTTATTTTTTAAATATTTAGCATCTGTCTAATGTTTGTACATGGCGGGAAAAGATTTATTTAAAGAAGACTTTAAGTATTACAAGAGAAAACAACTACGACCAAATTTGTCTAATGTCATAGATTTCGATAATGATCATCAGAAAGATTTAGTTTTGTTAAATAAGCCGTTTTCTGATCTTTTTGATAAATCTGCATGTGAACTGTGTGCAAAATTAGGACTTCGTGATCACACTACATGGGAACAGTATATAATAAAAGATATTAGTGGCTTCATATTTCTTAAAAATCCGTTTTTGATTACTGGTCAAAAGATGTGGATCCAAAGGTGCTTACAAATATACCCTCGAAAACCGTCAATTACAAATCTAGATTTACATTATAAGAACATTGATGATATTTGGTCTATGCGTAATAATGAGAAAACGAATTATTTATCAAAATTATGTTGGGTGACGTTAGGTTATCATCACAATTGGGATACTAAAGTATATGATCCCAACCATAAGTCAGATTTTCCACCCTGTTTAAAAGAATTGTCTCAACATATAGCATTTTGTTTGGGTTTCAACACATACGAACCAGAAGCTGCAATTTTGAATTTTTATAATTTGAAATCTAGCCTTGGTATTCATAATGATCATTCAGAAGATGATTATGATGCACCGATTTTAACATTCAGTTTTGGACAAACAGGTGTCTTTTTAATTGGAACGCAAAATAAGGCTGATAAACCTTTAGCTATGTTTTTAAAGAGTGGTGATGTAATAGTAATGTCTGGCTTATGTAGGCTTGCCTATCATGCCGTACCTCGTATCATCTTAGAAGATACTTCTTGTAGATATGATGAATCTGAAGCAGATGAAATGTGTTCGTCAATTCGTGAATATATGAAGAAGGCTCGCATTAACATAAGTGTGAGACAAGTTTACAAAGCTAAGCAGTGATAATGTTGCATATTTGATATTTTTATAAAATTGTCATAACTGTTAAAATAGAAACTACTGATTACATGTATTTTATAGCTGTTAATAGAAGTAGTTTCAGTTATTTATAAGAAATCTATTGTTTATACAAAATTTCTATATTTATAGCTGTAAATTAGAAATTTTTTGTTATGTGAATGATTATATAACGTGTTATTATAGATATAATCTATAAATGCTTGTTTCACTCCGTCAGGTTATGTATGTTTCTTTTTTCAAACTTAAGAGTTTAAAATTGGTGAAATGCACTAATTTAGTGAAAGATTTTTCAATTTAAATGTATAATTACTTTTTTTAAAGCAATTATTATTCAGATTGCTTCAGACACAAAAATTCTAACTTCTAATATTTATAAAATGAACACATTTGTTATGTTGTTAACATTTATTTCATGTTGCACTAATTAGCATGAATATTTCATGCAGTTTCTTTGATTTGGTATGATACACAAACATTTCACCACATGATGTGTGCATAATTTTGTATTTTGATGATTACATTTTTAGTTTATGCAAAAGCGTTTCACTAAATTTGTTATTTATATGGAAACCTGGGTAAAAGTATATTTTAGGTAACCCCCTGGTGACTTTTGGTGGTACATGGATACTGAATTTGTGCAATTCTTTGACTTCTTATTTTGGCTTGTGTAGTGGTGATTTTTGCGCCGCTACACAAAGAAGACAAAGAATTGCACAAACTCGGTATCCATGTACACATCGACCTATTTTCACTTAAAAAACATCCCAGAATTGCCCAAAAATGGCATTGGGCACTCACTTGACTTTATCCATGTACACATTGACCTATTTTCACTTAAAAAAACATCAAAGAATTACACACTCCCTTGACTTTGTCCATGTACATATCGAACTATATTCACTTAAAAAGTCAAAGGAACAGCCAACAAAAAAAAATATATATAATCTGAATAAACTACATTTTAAGTCAAACAATAAAATAACATAAAAAAGGAAATTCATCTTAGCACTACACGAAGGAAATGTCCACTTTAACCTTATTTACAAATTTACGTGTCTTCAGTCAAATAAAATTCCTTAACAGCATCCAAACTCTTCCTAAAATTATCTGAACTAGAATCCTTATACTAGTGTCGCCACATAAATTCACAAAAATAAGAGTAAAAAATATCCAGTGTTTGACCATACCCATTTCCTTCCTCTAAACAGAACAGTTAATAATGGCTACTAAGTAAACATTCATTTACACACCAGTCAATTAATGCTTTTTCCCCTTCATTCCAAATCCTTCAGAATCTTCAAATTTATCTTACCACATTCAGTCAATTTACCGTGTAAACCACAAAATAGCAACGTACTAATCCATCAGACACAAGCCCTTACCCAAAAATCTGACACACACTTTCAAAATTTTTTCCCGCGATTCAAATTCACCATAACCAATTATGTCATAATAGGGTTTCCATAGCATTCAGCTACTCAGGTTGTCATAAATGAGACAACAACTTGGCGATAAATGAAACAGCAATTTTGCGAAAATACAAGGGGTACCCTAAAGTGAACTCCAACCGAAACTTGCTGTATGAGTAGATCCAAATGTTTGCAGCGTCACCGCATAAAAAATTGTCTGGTAATAGATTCCTCTTGTAGACATATAGTAGCAATGTTAAATTATTAAATTTGAAAGCTTCATTAGTAAAAATAATCTTCATTCTTTTTTGACATTTTATTAAATGAAGTAATATGCTAGTTTATTTTAAAGTGTTAAAAAATGAGTATGACTCAAGAGATTAAATTTTGACTGAAGAAAGTCATAATCTCCGAAAAAATAAACAGTGCTTGGCTCATGAATGTGGTGATTAATATGTTTATTTTACAGTGAAAATAAATCAGTAAAATAATTTCACATGAGACTGAGAATCCATAATATTGGTATCAGGAAATATGGCTTGTGCCCCAGAAGAAATATATTATTTATCAAATTCCTGGCCATTGACTATCAAGACATTAGGCAAGCCAGAAGAAATACTGTGTGCTAGGAAATTAAAAGTCAAAGAGATAGCAGTAAGATTAATTAATTTTTTTAACCCGATTTCTTTCAGCAGTTCAGAACAGCAATGTATTGTTTGGTGTGAGCAGTTACAGTTTTTCAGTGGTAATCAGTGAATTTTTTTATAATTGAATATAATTAGTGATGAAGCAATAGGTCCTAGTCTATGATCCTCTGTCAAAAAGGAAATCAATGAAGTAAAAATAATCAAATGAAGTTCCACCAAGAAAGCAAAGGTGCAGCTATCAGAAAAAAAAGATGAGCGTTGTCATGTTTTGGGGTTCTCAAGGGATCCTTCTGTTTGATATTAAAGGAAAAAAACACAACCAGTAATAGGAAATATTATGTAAGCCTTTTACACAAATTGTACAATTAAAGAGTAAAAGACATGAATACTTATCTACTGAGCTGCATGATTCATCTCCATGACAATGCTTCTGTGAATTCAGCTGTCATTACTAAAAAAGGCAGTAATGAAATATTAGTGTATGGAGCTTCATCATCCTCCTTACAGCCCAAATTATATCCAAGTGATTATTATCTGTTCTCTGAAATGAACTCTGACCTTCATAGAAAGAGATTTAATGAAGATGATGGCATGAAAAGAGCAGATGTAAAATATTTTAAGACAAACCTTCAGATTACTTTTTCAGGGGCACAGAGTTGCTTATTCAATAATGTGCAAAGAATATCAAAATGCAAGATTATACAAAAATAAATAAACTGTTAAAATTTTCTCTTTAAAGTCTCTCAGACCAGAAATTTTTTATTCTATTTATGTGTGAAGTAGGAATCAAGTCATCAGTTAGTATGATAAGGTAGGTATGTTTTTTAAGGTTAAACTATTAGGCTGTCCAAAAAATGCTTTCATTTTTTCCATAAGATAGCTGTAATAGTATGCAGATGATATAAGCATTATTTATTTGAAATAGTGTGAGAATGTATTGCAGCAACTGGCAAATCAGTTTGTGTTTCGAATAAAATTATGAAAGCTTTACGTAGGCATTTTATGTCAAAGGGTGAAGGATACAAATCAGCATTTACATTTTCTTCTTCAGTTGTTCTACAGCCTGTCAGTCCTGAGATCTGCCTCCACACAGTCTATTCATCTTGTGCGAAGTCTTCCTCTTTTCCTAGTACCCTGCAAAGATCACCTTTTTAGCAGCATTCAAGCTGTCACACCTAAAAATATGTCCAAGCCACCTGATATGATAAGATTTGATGACCCGGACAATATTAAATTGTTTGTATATTCTATACATTTCATGGTTAAACAAATTCTCCATCTATTATTTTCTCTAAATTGGGCCATATATTTTCCATAGTATTTTTCTTTCAAAGATTAGAAGTTTTTCTTCATATGTTTTTGTTAATGGCCAGCATTCACTACCATATAATATGATAGGTCTAATAAGAGTTTCATAAATATTTTTTTTTTGTCTTAAAGTTTAATAATTTAGGTTATAATAATTATTGTCAGTTTGAAGTTTACTATAATTATCATTAGAGTTGATAGTACCAAGATACATAAACTAGGAAATGCCCTCGAAAGTAGAAGACTTTATTTGCAGTGGGAGGGGATTATGTATTCTACTAATTACTGCCATAAATTTTGTTTCACACTTATTAATGGTCAAGTCCATTATCTCTGGCTGCAGACTGTAGAGAAATAAAAGTCTCCACAGCCGTCTGTTTACTTCTGCCAATAATGTCGATGTCATCAGTGTATCCTAGTAACTGTATAGATCTCAAATATGGTCCCTCTAGTTATAATTCCAGTATCTCCAATAGCCTTTTTCAAGGGCAATATTAAAAAACATGCATGCAAGGGCATTACCCTCTCTCAACTCCCTTTCAGTGTAGAATGCCTCTGATAAATCAAACATGATTTTAACTCTGCAATTTACTCTCGTTAAAGTCATTCTAGATAGAGCAATCAATTTTCTAGGAAATCCAAATTCCAGCATAGCTTCAAACACTTTTTCACAATATAATATATAAGCAGCCTTAAAATCTATAAAAAGATGAAAATTATCCATATTGTGTTGAATAGTTTTTTTCCAAAATTTGTCTAACAGAATCAGTTTTATGAATAGTAGATTTTCCAGCTTAAAATCCACATTTGTAGCTGCCAATAACTGTAAATGCATACTGTACTAACGTATTATATAAAATATGAGAGAAGATTTAATGCCACATTTAAGAGGGTCATACTTCGATACTTTCAACAATCGAGTCTGTCTCTTCTTTTAAAAGTGAGACAAATGGAGCCCTCTTCCCATTCAATGTGTATCTGCTCTATAGTCCAAATGTTAAGTATAAACTTATGAAAAGCATCAATCAGTTCAAGTGGATCAATATTAATAAGTTCTGCCTTAATATCATCTGAGCCTGCAGCCCTGTTGTTATTTAGATTATCAATAGCCTTCCTCACTTCACATAAGTATAGTACATCAGGTTCCAGAGTTTCAATTTTCAACAACATTCAGTTCAATAGATAGATCAGTCTCCTCCCTTGGAAGCTCACTTTCACAGAGAAGATCTCTAAAGAAACTATCCATCGCACTTCAACTCGATCACTTATAAGCTCGCCTTTTCTACAAGTAACAGTCCCAGGACAGGCAAAGCGAGATAAAGCACTGATTTTCTGGTAAATTTTTCTCGACTCTTTTTGTGTTTTTAATTTTTCTATCTTACTAAACTGTTCCTTCATATATGCTTTATTTTTCATACGAAACAGTCTTTTTTCTTGTCTTCTCTACTCTTTATAATTTTCTTCTGCTCCTCTAGTATAGTGTTTTTGAATCATAAGTTTATAAGCTTTGATTTTACCCCTTAGTAATATTTGCAAAATCACAATCCTAAAATCCATGTTGTTTATTCCTTTTCAGTTCTGGTATCACTTCCCTTGCAGTATCCGTGATTATTTTTTCAGTCGGTTTTCAGGAGCAATCAGCATTCTGTAAATCATCACATTTCAGTAGCCTTTCTTTTAATTTATTTTGATAATCATTCATTGTCACAGGTTTGTGCAATCAGTCAACATCCAAGATTCATCCCTTTGTTGCCTATTCCAAAAGGTCTTACTTATCCTTCCTCTTAGCTTGGAAATCACTAGAAAGTGATGAGTCAACATTGGTTCCACAAAAACTGCAGACATCCAAAAG